TTAAGTGAGCCGGAAGAGGCTCTGCGCGGGCCGCCATCTCGCTGCCGGGAGGGAGGCGCCGCCGCTTTCGGCGATTTTCGCGTGTCTCTATTAGGTGCGAAGTAGCAGTGCACAGCGGAGGGATTCGCTGTTACACATTCGCAGGTGCACACGACACGGCGTGTCCCTGCCTCTCCCAGGACCCCTCTCTGACCCTTTTCGTTGCTCTCCCTCATTTCCGTGGGAACCCTCCCCTACCTCGTCCGCGCGAGAGGGGACACTGCGACCCCCGACCTTCGGAGGCTGCTTATTCTGCTCAGCCTCCTGTTCTCCAGTTCCATGCATTTTCCCTCCGATGACCCGATGTCATTTTATGGCTGCACCAAGCCTGAGTGCACGATCGTTTCTCCCGTCCCTCCACTGAGGGACACCTTGGCTGCTCTACGGCCTCTTTTTTTTTTTGGGGGGGGGAGGTGGACACTGAGGATTGAACCCCAGGTGCATCACCTCAGAGCCGCATCCGTAGCCCTTGTTCACTTCATGCTCTGACAGCCCTTGCCGCTCGGCCACTATGACTTATTTTTAAAGGACAAGCTATTTTCTCTTCCTCTGTCCCCTCCCTAGTCTCAGGGGAAACAGGGTTGCCTTTCTTTCCCGTTTTAGGCGGATTTATCTGTCCTTGAGCACACACCCACCCTGGGCACCGAGTAACCCAGACTCGGGAGATCTCTGGGATGACTGACCCTCAAATTGACAAGTGGTGCTAGTTGCCATGTGCCTGGGAGTTGCCTCTGTAGAAGCCCCTGTTCCTGCCCGTGGGCAGTCACAGCCTCCGGGACAGGAGTCCCTGTGTTTCTCCTTTGTAGCAAAGCAAGAAATATTTTCTTTTTCCTCGGAACCGTGTCTTTCTTACTAGTTTGGCCTTGAGGGCCAGGATTGAGCTTTCGGTAACCCATTCAGCATTTTTGGTTTTTTTACTTTTATTTTGTTGGTTCTGGGGCTTGATCCCAGGGGAGCTGCACCACACAGCTGCATCCACCCTTTTCATCTGTATCTTGAGCTGGCCTTGCTAGGCTGCCCTTGGCCTTCACCTCGCATCCCCTGGCCAGGCCCCAGTGGCCCCGTGGTGTCCAGGGTAGGAGGGTTGTCCCTTCTGGTTGGCTTCCTGGACAGCTCCCAGCTCCAGCTCCAGCCCTGGTGGCAGCACTTCCTCCCTGTCTGGGCTCCTCCAGCAGCTTGATTTCCTCTGCTGGTGGAGCCTCCAACAACCCTTGGAGGCTACTCTGGAACCCAGCCAGCCCCCAGGAGGGGACAGCTGCTACCTGGGCAGCCAGTGAAGCTGGGCAAGTGTGAGAGATGAGGCCACCAGCCCAGAGACTCACTGGCAGTGGTCCTGGACACCATGCAGCCCTGCAGTTGTTGGAGCTCTGGTCTCAGTGTCCTGGAGGGGCCATGTGACAGTGTCAACTCTGAGAGCAAGTTGTAGGGGTAGGCACAGTGCTTGAGGTGGGATCGAGCACGCACCTCTTCAAACCCCTCCCGGTTTTTGTTTTTGTTTGGTTTTAGATAAGGCCCTTGAGAAAAGACCACCAGGGACCTGTGTAATCCAACCCAGATCACACTCTTCCAGGTCATTGAGATTTGCTCATAATCTCATTGGAAAGCTAAATTCTCTACCCCAGAGGCAGTCCCACCCACCATTTTCAAGCAGTCACTGTACCGGGAAGTTGGATCTTGAACTGGGTGCGGGCAAGAACATTCCTTCTACATGTGATAGTCTCTCAGGTATTAATATGCATGAGTCTCCCCAGTAAAATTCCCAGTTCCCTTTGTTCAGAGAGTCTCTGCTTAGGGAAATATCCCCAGCACTCTCTTTGCTGCGATTAATAAATCTTCACTCCTTTATCGCCTAGTTGTTTGCATTCACCAAGGGACGGACTCACTTCAGCTACGGAGGTGCTGCTGCCTTGGGGGCTCTGGCTCTGATCCTGGCTTTGCTGCTGACCCTGCAGCTTTTGGCAGTCAACCTCCTCAGGCTCTGTTCTCTGCTCTTTAAGACCAAAGGAAAATCATGTGAAGGCCTCTGTAGCTCCTTCCTTAGCCACAACTAGGTATTCTTACTTTTGACCAGCAGCTTCTGGCTCTTTGGGAGCCTTCTAAAGTCCCTTCCCCTGCTGTGATTTCCCTCACTGGGCCTCAGCACAGTCCCCATCCAGTCCAGGCTACAGCTGATGTGGTCTGAGGAGCCTCAGCTTCAGCAGGGCAGGACCACCCACCCCCATGCCATTTGTGCTGGTGTAACAGGGATTCACTTGATACTTTGAAACTTACATGTTTGTTGTTGTTTTTTTTTTTTTTTTTTTTTTCCTTTTTCCTGATATTCTTTTCCCTAAACTCCCTGATCTTCTCCTCCCTGATCTCTCCTCCCTAATCTCATTTGCTCTGAATCACCTCTATAAAAGCCCCCCTGTTCCTGCTGATGGGCAGAATCACAGCCTCTAGGACAGGAGTCCTCTGTGTCTCCTTTGCTAGCAAAGAAATCCACCTTCCTTTTCCTTTTTCTCAAGACTTTGTCTTTGTTACTGGATTGGCGTTGAGGATGAGGACCAGGCTTTCAGTTACCCTGGCAGTTGGGTCTCATCGGGTCTCAGCTGTGCAAGGACTGAGAGGTGCTTCAACTTGCCAGCACCATGGGCGGCCACCTCAGGAATGGGCTGAGTGGAGGAGGCCCGGGGAGACCAGCTGTTAGGGCAGGATGGAGAGAGCAAAGGAAATACCAACTCACCTCTGCCGTTCCTGGATCAGAGGGCCTGGGTATGAATCCCAGTCTGCCCAGGCATGGTGGTAAACTAGTGAGGACCTGAGTAACTCAGTGAGACCCTGTCCCTAAAAAAAAAATATAAAAAGGGACTGGGGATGTGGCTCAGTGAGACCCTGTCCCTATAAAAAATATAAAAAGGGACTGGGGATGTGGCTCAGTGGTTAAGTGCCCCTGGGTTCATTCAGTCCCTGGTACAAAAAAAAAAAAAAAAAAATCACTGGCCAGCTGTGTGACTTTATTTATTTCATTTATGTGTGTATGGTGCTGGGATTGAACTCAGAGCCTTGTGCCTGCAAGGCAAGCCCTCTACCAACTGAGCTATATCCCCAGCCCCCAGTTTTGGGACTTTCTGTCTCAGTTTTCTCACCTGACAAATGGGAAAGTCCACCTAGCAGAGTCTGAGGTAACTGATGAGATTCAGTACCCCACTGTGTCCCTGCATGGTGTTGTTAGGGTACCACTGGGAGCAGTCATCTTTTCTAACTGGTCCCCCCACCCCCGGCCCTGTCCATCTCACTCCTCCCTCAGCCTTGGCTGCCTGGGTGTTCCTCAGATACACAGGCTCTCTGGATGGAGAGGCAGGCCCCAGGCCTTGGCTTGCTCAATGTCTCATGTGCTCCCTTTTGGAGAAGCATCCTGGGGACCATCTCTGGCTGGCCCTGTGCCAGGGAAGTGATGAGAGGAGAAAGGCATGAGGTGCACTCACAGATTGAAGCAGTGGGCAGCTGATATGACCCAACAGGGTCTCATTGCAAATGTGCCCCTGGACTTCTGCAGGCTGGCCATACCCTGTCCTGAGCACCCTAGTCCCTAGTGACCCCATCACAGGCAGCCCAATTTTACTGCAGAATGGACTGCAGTAAAATTGGGCATCTGCCTACTGCCCCACCAACCTGGCCTGACCCAGCAGTGACCATCAAGTAAGTCCACTGGTAGGGAGAGAGGCTCAGGCCTGTGTAGGCCTGCAGGGACTTTGATGCACCCCCCTCCCCTTTCTGCCCATCTCTCTGTTGATCAGCTCCAAAGAACAGGCTTTGATCTGGGTGCGGTGGTGCACACCTGTAATCCCAGCTGCTAGGGAGGCTGACGCAGGAGGATCACGAGTTCAGAGCCAGCCTCAGCAAAAGGAAGGCGCTAAGCAACTCAGTGAGACCCTGTCTCTAAATAAAATGCAAAATAGGGTTGGGGATGTGGCTCAGTGGTTGAGTGCCTCTGAGTTCAATTCTCAGTAAGCACCCCCCTCTAAAAACAAAGAATTTTCCAGATTTTGCTCTGTTTCTTATTCCCCTGCTACTCTAGAAACTGACCTCTGTCTGAGAGGAAGAGATCAGGCCCCAGGCTGGAAGGGGAGCAGAGGGAGGGCAAAGAGCCACACTGGAGAGAGGCTGTGTCCAGATTAGGGGTGTGAGGAGTGAGTGAGGGTCAGAAGCCTCAGGAGCAGTAGCAACTGTGGGCAGCCCTACCGAGGAACTCTCCAAGCCAGGCACACAGGCTTCTGAGCCTCTTGAAGTGCAGGGGACCAGCCCATCTTCCCCTAGAACACCTCCAGGACAGTGGAGCAAAATCTTTGCTAGTTGTTATGTCTGTGTAACAAATTGCCACAAAGGTAGCAGCTTAACAGAACACCAATTTATTTAATCATGACTTTGTAGGTCAGAGTCCAGTGGCTCAGCTGGGTTCTCTGCTTAGGGTCTCGCTAGGCTGAGGGCAAGGGGTCATCAGGGTGGGGCTCACAGAACTGGCATTTGGAGGTCCCAGATTCTTGTGCCCTGCTGGGTGTCGACCAGAGGCCACTGTAGGATGTTCTCAGTTCCTGGCTCCTCCATCTTCAGAGCCAGCAACGGAGACGCTCCTTGGTGTTGAATCTCTCTTATGCTTTGCATATGTCTATCTTCCTCAAGAAAACAAGGGGGACACAGGCCAGACAGGGGCAGCTGGTTTGCCTATATCTGCTGTCCTGCCCTCATCCCTGGCCAGAGCTGAGGGTAAAGATGAGACAGGAGGGGAAGGAGGAGAGTGAGCCCCCAGGACACACAGAAGGTCCCTGGATTGCTGGCTTGTGGAATCACATTCAGTGAGTGCCCTGGAGGAGAAGAGGCAGGGGAATGGAGAGTACATGGATGGCCCATTAGGATCTCTGAGAGGAGGATGTGTGCAGGTCCTGGATGGATCGAGGCTGAGGCTCCAGGTCAGCAGCACCAAAACCACCCAGCATTAGAGGCTGAGGTGAGCCTGAATCCAGGGGCTATACTTGGCCACGCTGGTATAGACACCAGGACGATTGGGCAGGGCACAGCCCTTGCCCCAGCTCACCACACCCACCAAGATCCAGTGCCCAGACTGCAAGCAGCTTAGAGGTCCCCCGGAGTCACCCTGCAACAAACAGAAAGGTACTGTAGGTCCCAGTCCTCCCAAGACTTCAGGGCAGCTGTCCCAGGTCGCTGGGGTGATACCTCTGGATTGGGGGCTGGAAAGCAGCCTGGGGGTGGGATCTGCTGGGTCCTGAGTTCTAGGGAGGTAGGGTGCTGGACACAGGGGCATGGACTCCAGAGGTTATAGGTGGGGGACACACCTGGCAGGCATCCTTGTGGCCCCTGAGGTAGCCAGCACAGAGGTTTCCCGGCAGCACTATGCGCTCCGCCTCAGGGATGCTGGTGCCCACATGGTACAGGCGGTCACAGGCGCGTGAGCTCAGCAGTGGCACCCTCACTCCTTGCAGGGGACGCCACTCTGGAAGTGGCACTGGGGAAAAGGGGAGACTTCTGAGAGCCAGAGGAGGGCAGAGTGTAGAGCAGGGCTCGTGGAAGAAGTGGAGCCCGAGATTCTGATTTGTCAGGCAGGGGACACCCTGGATCTGGCTCTGGGGAGAAGTTTCAGGTTCTTACAAGTGGCTCTGCGTCCTGAATTGGGACTGTGAGGGTCTGGGACGCCCAGTTAGATAAAGAAGGGGGTTCCCTCAATAACCTCATGCCAAGCCTTCCATGCCTCACCTCCTGGGCTGAGGGTGCCCCAACCGGTGACCCAGCAGGGTGAGCTGGGTGGTGGGTGACTACCAGGCATGGGCAGGCAGATGGGCTGGATGTGGGCACTCATTGGTACTGGGTGGCGTAGCTGCAGCAGTGCCAGGTCACCGCGGGTGGCATCCATAGAGTGGTCTGGAGGCAGCAGTACCCTCCACACTGGCACGGAGAGTGCCGGGGGTGACACAGGGCCCAGGCGCAGCATCCCCAGGCACACACGGTACTCAGATGGAAGTGCCTGTCTGCACGACAGGGAAGGGGATCACTGAAGCAGACCCCACCCAGAAGACCATCCCGTGGGGAACTGGCCCTGCCTACACCTTCAGACGCCCTCCTCCCCACCTGCATCCATCTGGGGCTCCGGGAGCTGACCTGGCCATGCAGTGTGCTGCAGTCAGCACCCACTGGGATGCGATGAGCGACCCCCCGCATACGTGCGTCCCCCGGTGCTGGATGCTCGCCTGCCAGGGCCACTCTCCCTCACGGGCATCCCGGCCCCCCACGATCCGGCTGGACGTGAGGGGTTGCCCACAGGCTGTGAGACAACAAGGGGACAGCCAGGGTTGGCAGAGGACTGGGGCCTGGAGACAAGTGTGCCTAGAAGAGACAAGGCCTAGGGCCTGGAGGGGCAGCTCTGAGGCTTCTTACCTGCGGACGCCAACGACCCAGTAGCTCCTGGAGGAGGAAGTGGAGAGAGAGCTGGATTATGGACTTGGTGTCAGGTAACTGGGGGGTGGTCAGAGATTAGGAGGGAGGCAGGGCATATGTGTGGCACTGAGCTTGTGCCAGGCTCCTATGTGATTGGTTACCTGATGTCACCTTCCTGAACACTGGGGTGGGGGTGGGACCCAGGCCCTTTACACAGGTAACCTGTTGGGACTTGGAGAGCCCAAGGTCAGGAACTGAGGACATGCGGGGTGGGGGGGCCAGAAGCAGGCCCAGAGGTGGTGACGTGGATGACCTGGAGCCAAGTTCTTTGTGGCTATCACCCCTACTCCTTGCTCCACTCACCGAATACCAGCAGGCGCAGGATCTGGAGCTGGGAAGCCCCCATCATCCTGTCTCCGGGACTGGACTGGGTAAGGCAGCTCTGCCCAGTGCTGGGCTCTGGCAGGGAGCAGAGAGGAACACCCCTAAACCCCACCTGCCCCTCCCTCGGTGGCCCTTCTGTTTGTGCTATCCCTTCCACCCAGGCTTAATACCCTTCCTTCAGCCCCGGTCCTGAAGTCCAGTATGAAGTCCCAGTATGAAGTCCAGCCCAGTATGAAGTCCCCCCAGCTTTCAGATCTGGGTCTCCTGGACCTCAACAGGAGTCCTAGAGCCTCATCACCAACACCGTCCTTCCCTCCCATTACCCAGGAGCTGCACTGTCCTGCCCCGGCATGCCCTGGACACTGCTCTCACCCTCACAGCCTGGTGCCCTCTCCACTGTCTGGGACTAGGGGAGGGCCTGGGGCTTAAAGGGCAGAGGGGCGGAGGCTAGGCCAGGGCCCAGGCAGGGATGTGGCTTCACTGACCAGCCTCAAACAAAGATTCTTTGAGCAGCACTTGGGAAGTGGCAGGGAGAGGATACCATGTGCGGAGACCTGGGGCTTGCGGTCAGGCTGGGAAGCTCCAGAGAGTCCTTGGCAGCTCATCTCTGAACCTGATCCTGCCTCCTGGTGGGGCATGGTCACTGGGGCTTCTGAGCTCTATTGTTCTGTCCAGTAATCCCAGCTTGGCTGGGCCAGCCAGCCCCACATGGGGCCCTGACTGCAGACTCTGGACCCCAGACCTTGGGCCTGGCTGGCTGACTCCATATGGAGACCCCAGCCAGGCCAACACCCCCTGGATCCTGAGCTCAGAGTGGGAATGCATAGCTGATCAGAGCCAGACGCAGGTGTGACCTTAGGAAACAGTCCACCCTCTGGCTTGGGGTGGCCAGAACATAGCAAGACTGTTGGTCTAGGGTGAGGCCAGGAGATAGGGAAGGGGTCCAGTGGAGGGCTGGATCCAGGACAATGCCCAGACCTGTGAGTCATCCCTTGGGTTCACCCACAGGCTGTGCAGCCCCTCTCCCTTTCTGTTGGCACTCCTGGCCCCTCAGCCTCTGCTCCTCTGTCTCTTGCTCAGGGGCCTCACTGCTGAAGCCATGTCTCCCTCACACCATGTCAAGGTTCTGATTTTGACATGGGTCTGGAGGTTTCATCTGTATTGTTCCTCTCCTCTCCATGAGGCCGGGTCTGGGTTTATGGCCCTGAACTAGTCAGCCCAAGCTGCTGACAGTTATCCTAGGTGTGGCAGCTTAAAAAAAATGTACTTCTCAAGGTTCTGAGGGTGTGGGGGTAGGGGGGATGTGGGGGTGGGGTACAAGGTCAAAGCCAACCAGGTCTGGTTCATTCTGAGACTGCTCCCCTTGGCCTGCTAGGAGGCCTCCATCTTGCTGGGTACTGACATGGCCTCTGGGTGCAGAGGGGAAGAGAGTGATTGTCTTCTCTTCTAAGGACACTGATCTTATTTTATCAGAGCTCCATTCTTATGACCTCACTTAATCTCAATTACTTCCATAAAGGCAAAAACAGTCACGCTGGGGATTATGGTCTGAGTATGGTTGCCCCCCCCACCAACCTCAAGTCTTGAAGCATTTTAATCTCCAAAGGTTCATGTTAATGGCATTAAGAGGAGGGGAACTGGATACTGCTATGTTTTTTGTGGTGAAGCCTTTGGGAAGTGATGAGATTAGAATAGGCTGTTCAAATAGAGCCCCCAGGATGGGATCCTGTGGCTTTGTAAGAAGCGGGAGGGAGACCATACAGGCGAATGAGTTCCCGCCCGCCCCACAGCTCAGGGCTCTGCCAGCAAGAAGGTCATCACCAGAACTGAGCCATGCCAGCGCTGTGCCCTGGAGCCTGTGAGTTTTGAACTAAATAAACCTTTTTTCACTATAAAGTTAGTTTGCCTCAGGTACTTTTATAGTATGAAAGGAAGCTGACTGATATAGAGCTTCCACATAGGAATTTTGGAGGCTCAAACATTTAGTCAACAGTCTCCAGTGGGCAGAATAGCGCTCCATTCCGAGCAGGCACTGTGGATGTGGGAGCGGGTCAACAGGGCTGAGTGTGGCAGGAGGCTGGGCATGAGGGAACCCCCTGGGGACCTACCTAGCTTCTGGGTGTGGAGGTGGGGCAGGAAGTTTTAAGGCTAGTCTTGCCCATAGCCTGGACCCACACTCAAGACCACTCTGGTCTGGGAAAGCACTTGCCTGGCGTATATGAGACCTGGGTTTGATTCCCCAGAACTAAAACACCCATGCTCTGTGCGGCCATAGCTCTCTCCTCCAGTGTGACTGGATGAATGGGCAGAGCCTGGATCAGTGCTTGGTACAAGGCAAACATAATGCCCACAGGAATAAAAGCAGTAAGCTCCCGTCCTCTTCAGGCCTCCCCAGGATTGGCCACCTGTGGACAGCCTGGTGGAGATAGGGCCAGTTGTTCAGGGACAGAAGCAGCTGGAAAGCTGGAGGGCTGAATGGGAGTGGGGCCAGACCTTGGTAGGGGGGTAGGCTGTAGGGCTGGGCACCGTTCAGCAGGTTGCTAGGAACGGTGATTGGGGTGAAAGGCAGGGACGGAGGATGGAGGGGACCCAGAGAGCCCGGCCGGTGTGGGTTCTTCCTGAGAAACTGGCTCTTTTTAGGGGAGGAGTCTGCAGCAGGTTGATTAATGTGCATCTGAACTTTAGGAAGGAGGAAAGAGCCTCTAAACCCACCCCCTGTCTCAGTCCCATATTGAAAAACTGAGGCAGGGTCTCAGGCTAAGTCCACTTCCCGTTCAGCTTCTTTTTTATTGTGGGAAAACCCAACACACTCCTGGCCTGTACTTCCTTAGCTCACCACCCCAGTAAACTACCATTACGGGATCTTGGTAACACCAGGAGCATCTGAGACTCATGTAGTGGGGCACACCAAGACTGGGGGCGGGGGGCGCTGTCCATGAGGAACATTTATTCCCTGTCACCCTTCCCCAGACTTCCAAGTTCCCAGACACCCTGGGGCTATGACCCTCTTCCCACAAATCAACTTTCTGGGTGAACTGACTGGAAAGGGTTCAGCTGTCTGTGACCAACAGCTGGACAAGATTAGGAGTTAGGGACAGGTCCTGGGCTGCACAGGTCATGGGTAATACAGACAATGGTCCAGGAAGCACAGGGTGCCCATCATGTTCTGGATTGTCAACTTGAGTATGCATAAGTGTTTATTAGCAAACAAGACAGCAGGGGAAAGGGGCTGGTCTGGGAAGCTTCACCACACAATACTGGGTGTCCATGGGATGGGGAAGGTGCAGAGCTATGGTTCCCACAGTACCTTCATGGGATCAGGTATGCTCAGGCTGGCCCCAGGAGCCTGGGAGCCCAGGGCAGAGTAAGGAACAGCAGTGCAGGGGAGGGGTCAGGCCTGGGCATGTCATTACGGGATACCAGCATCCGGATCCAGTCAAAGTGTAGACTGACGTTGGTGTAGACTCCAGGCCGGTTGGGTCGACCACAGCCCACTCCCCAGCTCACAATTCCAATCTGATACCACAGCCCTTCCAAGTCGCAGACTAAGGGTCCTCCTGAGTCACCCTGGGGAGAAGCCTGGGTGAACCCAACCAGGGCAGGTGGGTGGAGCCTGCAGAGAGGCTGGGGGAGCAGGGTGGCAGTGCAGCTGGCAGGAGGGGTGTGAGTCCTATTCCCTGCTCCCCAGCAGAGACAGAGCCTCAGTTTCTGCATCTGCAAAGTGGGGCCTCAGTCTCTACCTCCAGGGGCTGACCGGGTGTGGGAGGAGGCACCACCAGTGGAGAATGAGCAGTATGTTTTGTAGGCTGGTGAGTAAGGACTGCCATTGCTTTACTCCAGGTGTGGGCTGGTGGGGGCTCGGAGCCTGCTCTCAGGCCTGGGGCAGGGTGGGTATGATTTCCTCATGGGGTGGGCACTCACGTGGCAGGTATCCCTGCTGCCATTCTCAGCACCAGCACAAAGCATGTCAAAACTGATGGAGCTGCGCTGAAAGGGCAACGCGAACAGCTCCCTGCACCTGCTGTTGTTGAAGATGGTGACCTGCACTTCCCGGAGGCGGTAGGGGGGTGGCAGAGGTACTGGGGTAGGACAGAGACAGAAAGCAAAATCAGCCTCTCCTTTGCCATCTAGAGCAGAGCAGGATGTGTGTGCCCAGCCCACACCTTGTAGCAGTGGAGAGGTCCAGGGTGACCGCTCCACATTGAGGGCAGTCATCAAGATCCGAGGGGACCCGGCGGAAGGACAGGCAGTTGCAGCTACCCTGAAATTTGATATCCTAATTAGACAATAAAGATGCCACCCCTGCTGCCCAGGTAGAGAATATACAAGTTGTACATGTTAAGTGGCCAACTTAACGTTCTGTGAATTAGATATCAAAAAAAAAAAAAAAAAAGGGGGGGGGGGAGGGGGTGTGGGGGGGGGGGGGGGGGCCTGGGGTTGTAGTGCAGTGATAGAGCACTTGCTTAGCGTGTGTGAGGCAATGGGTTCGATCCTCAGCATCACATATAAATAAATAAAAGTCCATTGATAACTAAAAATATTTTTTAAATAAATAAAAGAAAGGAAAAAAAGAGGGATGCAGGATTGAGAGACAAGCAAATGGGACGACCCTGGGAGACACGACAGCATGTGCAAGAAGCAGATGCAAAAGGCCACACGCTCTGTGGCTGCATTGGCAAGGAATGTCCAGAGCAGGCAATCCATGCAGGCAGAGGGCAGGCGGTGGTTTGGGCAGGCGGTGGTTGCCAGGGGCAATGAGCCCAGGCCACCAGGCACGGAGAGGAATGATCAAGGAGGGCGGGGACTCCTGCTGAGATGGAGCTGTTCTGAGGTAGAGGGTGCCAGGATGGCCGCACAGCTTTGGGAACGCCCCGCAGATCTCTGAACAGCCTGCTTCGCCACTGCTGGCTATAAGTTTGGGTTTGTGAACTAAATCACAGTGGAAGGAAGTTAACGGCAGAGGCCCTTGGCAGGAGGCTGTCCTGAGCCTGCCACCCCTACTGGCTAGCAAAGGCACATGCCAAGCCGGCCCCCCTTGCACCCCTGCCTTCTGGCCCACACAGTGTCTGCAAGGGAAGGGGACAGAGCCTGTCTTCCTGCCCTTGCAGTGGGAGCAAGAGGAGGGCAGGCCCTGCGGAGAGAATGCTGAGCGGGTGCCCAGGTCCAGGAGGGGCAGCTGGACCTGGTGGCTAAATGGGATGAGGATAGTGCCCAGCCCAGCCCTCTGTCCCCAACCTTACCCATATTCTCATGGATGACTCCCCAACCAGTCACCCAGCAGTCAGACCGGTGCAGGAACATGAAGGTAGAAGACAGGACACAGACGGGCTGGATGTACTTGCTGTAGGTGACCGAGGAGGCCAGCCTCAGCAGGGCGATGTCATGGAACTTTCCTCTAGCCTGGGGGTTCACAATGATGTCCTTCACTCTGTACCGGTTTCGGTGGGCCTGCAGGCTCCAGAAAGATTGGCGGAGAGTCAGCTCACCAAGCTGGACTATCCACCTGGAAGCACGAGAGAACCTGGCAGGGGAGAAGAGAGCGACCTCCAGGGCCCAGGGAAGGGGGCCTGGCCATCTGAGCACACCTGGGCTGGGGTGATGCTGTGGGGCTGCTACTACTTCCTCATTATGGACACCATTAGTGTCCATGGCAAGTCCTTCTTATGGGCTCAAGGGACCCATGTAGAAACTTCAGACCAAGGCAGGCCACAACCTGAGTACTGAGGTGGGAGGAGCAGGAGTGTGGCTCCCCCTAGTGTCTTGTCACCTCCCACAGCTGTCCTAAGGACATAGAGCACAGTCTTGTAGGAGTATACATGTGCCACTCAGAAAGAACAAAGCAGATGTGAGGCCAGTGCTGGTCCTCGGACTGGAAGTCAAACAGCTGGGTGGGGAGAGCTCCACTGGCCGACTGGGTGACCAGCATAGCTCCCTCCTCAACTCAAGCCTCCCACTCCATTGGGAGGTGAAACTATGGTGGTTCCATTTGGTTAGAAAGAGAAGAGAAAATTACAAGAAAAATGCACAATAATGTTTTGGTAAAAAGTGATGCTAGAATTTGAACAGGGTCATCTCCAGGGATGCCAGGGAAAGTCATTTATAAAGTCATTTGTCTGTTACCAGTTGCAGCCCTGCTTGAAGCAAAGGAAAACACGAAGCCCTATCAACAAACAAGAGCGCCCCAGTGCAAGAAGGGAGGTCGCCTTCCCAGTGGACGCCCAGACTCACCTCCTGAAGCAGTGCGCGGCCGACAGCACCCAGCGGCGGCTGAGCAGGCTCCCTCCGCACGTCTTGACATTGCGCACACGCACCAGGGCCTGCCACGGCCAGCGCCCGCGCGAGGACTCCACTCCACCCACGATCAGAGGGCGGACCTCCCGGCGGCCGCAGGGCCCTGGGGCAGACACGCGGTGAGCTCGCGGGGCAGGCCCACCACTGGGCCGGGGGCCTCTGGGGACGCGCCCACCCGCCCCTCCCCAGGGCCCGGCCGTTACTTGAGAGCAGCAGGGTGCTCATGGGCCCTGAGGCGGAGGAGAGGGAGAGATGAGGCGTCCTCGCACCGTCCTCTGCATCCGACGCCCGCGCACCACGCAGGGGGCTCGTCGGGGGCGCCTTACCTGCCTGCGGGTTCTCTTCCTGCGAGTCTGCGTGGAGGCCAGGAGGTGAGCGCCCCTGACCTCCACGATGCCCGCGGCCCCCGTCGCCCCGCCCTGCCAGCAGCGCCCCCTGAATTCACCCTGCTTCTCCAGTCCCGGGCGCCACAGCAGCGCCAGCAGCAGCAGCGGCGGCAGAAGTGGGCAGCTCCTCTCGCCCATGGCCTCTTCTGCAACCTGGCGCCCCCTGGGCTCCCTGCAGCTCCTCTCCAGATCCTGCCGGCGCCCCCTGCGGGAGAGGCAGCAGGCTGGAAGCCCTGGCCACCACCTTCACCCAGATGAGCTCCCTGGGACCAAGGGACCCTTGGGGACCACAGTGCCTTCGGCTCCTACATGAGTTGGTCAGCTGGCACACGTCTTGATGTGGTGCTGCAGCCAGTGAACCCCAACACCCCTTTCTTGTCTGCAGCCCATGAGCGCTGGCTGCCTCCTCTGATGCCCTCTTTCCCCCACCCACAACTCCCCCAGGAACAAGGACATGGCCCTCAGCCAGGAGCCCCCCGGGAAGCCCACTAGCACCTCCTCCTGGCAGGCTGATCTGGAGTCAGCAGTGTGGCGCCTCCTGCGAAAGGTGCTGCTCCTTTGCAGCCACGGAGCTGGGCTGCGACCATGCACAGGGCTCGAGCTCCTTCTCTGCCTGCTGCCTGCAGTGGGCCTCACACAATTGCCCGGGCCTCCAGGGCCTCTGCTTCCTGTGGGAGTGGGGTCAGTGTACCAGTCCCACTTGTGAGTGGACAGCCAGCCAGGCATCAGCACCAACACCCCCTGGGTCAGAGAGTCCCCATCGGGTCCCATAGAACTCAGAAGAGTCAGTGTGCTCCTGGGTGAGGACACAAGCGTGAGCCTCTCTCCAGATGTGTTCCCCAGCAGAGGCCAGTGGACAGGGCTGAATTCTCCCAGAGTGGACCTGAGACTGCTGGCCCGAAGGAGTGCCACAAGGGAAGACAGCAGCTTCTGGTCACCAGGGCTGTACTGAGGCGTGGTCAGGGAGGCATGAGATGCCCAGGTGGGAACCTTGGTTACTCAGTCTCGAGCCCCTGCACCAGTCCAATGGTGCCATGTGGTCCAAGCCCCTCGGGGAATCCCACTGTTAGTGGGACCCGGAGTGGCACCATCCTCCAAGTTTGCAGGGACACTCCTCAAGAAGGACCATCCAAGGGCGCCTGTGGTCTCCCCAGAGCTGGTCAAGGGCCAGTGTTTTTCTTGGAGTGCTGGATTGGAACACCTGCTCCTGCTGAGTTGGCCTTGGACGGCCCAACAAGGATGGAGAATGTTCCAAGGAGAACTCGGGCCTTCATCAGAGGGTCTGTTGCAGGGAGGTCAGCTGACCACAGAGGAAGCCCAGATAATCCACGGAGAGCAGACAACTGGGAAACTACTTATTTTGTTTTTCATACCCGAGATAGAGCCTGGGGATGCTCTAACGCCCAGCCACACCCCCAGCCCTTTTAAACAAAGTTTCAGACAGTTCAGTCACCGAGGCTGTGCTGGATGTGGGATCCTCCTGCCTCAGCCTTCCCGTCACTGGGATTACCAGCATTCACCACTACACCCCTCTACAACTGGGAAACTTGGAACTAGTGTCCCTCAGAAAGATTCAGGAGGAGTCTTCCAGGAGGAGGCAAGGATTGTCCAGGAAAGGAGCAACTGGAGAAAAGAGAGTGTGGAGAAGTTTAAAATATCACTGCTGAGCAGAACATTGTAGCAGAAGGGCTCAGCACTAATTTGGTCATAGCTAAGTAAGAAATGCAGTGGTAAGCTGGAAAAGAAAACAAAGAAAGGAACTCAGAAGGCAGAGCAAGGATTTGGAGGAGGGATTCCACAAGAGAAGGCTGTAAAGACAGATTCAGCCAGAAGTAGTGGCGAATGCTTGTAATCCCAGTAGCTCAGAAGGATGAGGCAGGAACATCCCAAGTCTTTGGGAGCCCTGTCTTAATAAATAAAAAGGGAAAAAGAGAGAGAGAAAGAGACTGATCCCCCATCCCCCGGGGGTGTGGGAATTTAACTCAGGGATAGAACATTTGCCTACCTTGTGCAAGAATCTGGGTTCAGCTACCAGTGCCATATGTAAATGGGTAAATAAATAAATGAGAAGGTAAAGATGGCCTCTGCAGCAGGGGAATGTCCAGACTGAGCCAGTCTGAAGATGCAGTGCATTAGCTGCACTTGGAACATCCTGACACCACATGGGCTGAAGCAAGTAATGGGCACCCTCAGAGGGGAGGACTTGGAAGGCTCTTGCCTCTCTCAGGAAATAGGTCACCAGAGCCAGGGAGAGTCACCTCCTCAGCATCACACTCAGCAGAGGAGCTATGAGCACAGAGAGGGTCAATCACGATGGCTGCAGCTCACAGAGCACCTCTGGGAGCAAGCAGCTCACTGAGGCAGAGGATGATGGATATGACAAGGACTGTGGTGATGTCTTCAAAGGAGATTTACTCATCCATTGGAAACTGCCCTGCACAGTACAGAAACTCCTCAAGTGGGAGGATTGTGTCTTTATCCATATAAGGTTTCTGAATCATGTGAAACTTCAGTTTCTTTTGAAATCACAAAGTCCATCTTTGGGTTGGTGAGACTATGTGAGTATCTTTTTCTTGTTCTTGTTCTTCTTCTTTTTTTTTTTCCTTAATGATCCTGGAGATTGAACCCAGAGGCACTAAGCTACACTCACAGTCCTTTTTAATTTTTATTTTGCAGCAGGGTCTTGCCAACTTGCTGAGGCTGGCCTTGAACTTGCACTCCTCCTACCTCAACCCCACAAGTCTCTGGCATCACAGGTGTGGGCCATCACACTCAGCCACACTGGACTTTCTTACAAAATGCCAGCAAGTACATTTCTGTGAGTGCAAACAGAAGTAGGTGGAGAAAGTTGTTGTTGTTGTTTTTTTTTGGTCACTTCTTTCTATTTGATTTTTGTTGGTGGTACCAGTGATCACACCCAGGGACTTGTGCATGCTAGGCAGGTGTTCTACCAGTGAGCTACATCCCCAGCCTGCCATTTCTTTCTAAATGCTTTCTTTCTGTTTCAGCTTTAATATACATTATTGAAAGAACTGCACAAAAGATGAAAGCAGATGAGGAAATTTTAATGTCAGATAAAACATGTCCAAGGCTAGAGGTCTTTGGTTTGAAAACTGAGGATCTTTTCCATAGACAAAAGTTGCATTCAGGGGCTGGGGCTGGGGCTCAGTGGTAGAGCATGTGTGAGACACTGGGCTCGATTCTCAACACTGCATATAAATAAATGAATAAAATAAAGGTCCATCAACATCTAAAAACAAAATTTTTAAAAAAGTTGCATTCCACTAAAAGATGTAGGAGGCATGTCCCTCTGTGTCCCCAGAGCAGAGGTCTTGGGACATAAGCAAAAAAGCGTTCAAAATACTCAAAGCAACTAAAATCCACATTTCCTCTCTCAGAATTCAGGAGATCAGTTAGAGATGAAAATGAACAAGTGGAGAAGCCGTCACACCAGGGTTGTCACCATGCATGATTTCCACTGCACTGCAGCATTTGGGTGCTCAGTGGGTCATCCTGTCCCTGGGGCACTGAGGCCCTTGGAAGTTGGTTACCTGGAGGTGAGGTGGAGGGCAGCCCCAGTGCCAAGCCCAGCAGCACATCTGGGAGGTCCCTGATCCCAAGAGACAGGTCCACTGCCGCCCCCTGGTGGCAAGTGGGCAGATGTCAAGGCGCTGGCTGTGGGTGGTCAGAGGGCAGGTACTTCCATTTTTCCTGTTGGGATCCAGTGTCCTTGAATAATGAGTTTACCTCTCTCACCCCTGGTGTCCTGGCCCACCTAAGGCCCACAGAGCCTGGGGATGGAAGGTCAATGGCCAACAGGGCTGAGTGGGTGTGCTTGTCCAAGATGCCTGTGGCAGGTTCTGAGCTCTACAGCTCCACTGCCCATACAGCCCACAGAGACACAGTCAGCTGCAGCACAGAGCAGAAGGTAGAATTTTTTGCCCATTCCTGTGGGACTCAGCAGGTCCTCACCCTGCAGTCTCAGTTCCTCTGCTGCACAGTTGGGGGTCATAAGAGCTCTTGGGGGCAGGGGGTATGTCCTACAGGAGGTGTCAGGCCAGGCACTCAGTACTTTAGCTAGCAGCTAGCACCCAGTGAAAGGTGGGTATTGTGATTCCAGGACAAGAGCGGGGGCGGGGGGGGGGGAGGCCCTGGGAGCTGGGTCAAGGACCCCAGATCATGCAGGCCTGGACCCCTGTTCTCAGGCATTGTGTGGAGGCCTTAGGCCCTGCCCAAGTTTGGAGGACAGGTGTGAGCCCAGCCCCACCCCAGCATGAGCCCAGGAGCCCAGGAGCTGCAATCATCTCCTTCTTCCCAGAGTGTCTGGGAACTCAGGCCCCAAGACCAGTCAGGTGTACAAGTGCAGTGCAAGATGGCCGTAGCCCTCCCAATATCTTGCTCTTCCTCCTACCTGGAGCCCTTCTGGGGAATGAGAGTCCCTCAGCTCTCCAGCCCACCCTGTTTCCCAAGTTGGCCTCAAATCTGCTATCTTTCTGCCTCAGCTTCCTAAGTCTCTGGAATTACAGGCAAGCACAGAGTTGGGCCACAGCTGCTTGCATTTTAAAAAGCCTGATTTACATTTTTGCTCCTTTGGGTCCGGTCTCAAATGAATCCAAGTAAACTTACATGTTTGCATTCTGCCTAGGGTTAACTAAAAGTACAAATTTCCAAGCAAACTTGAATAACAAAATTATCTTTGTCTAGGCAGAAGGGAAAAAAAAAATCCAATGCATTCATGTAAACCTGTAATTTCAGTTCAAGAAGTAACTTAAAACCATTCGCAGAAATATCTTAGGCATGCCAATCAAACAAAAGTATTAATCTAAGCAGACAGAACCCAAAAGTCAATTTACTTTTTTTTTTTTTAAAAATATTTTTTTAGTTGTTGTTGGACACATGCCTTTATTTATTTTTATGTGGTGCTGATGATTGAACCTAGCGCCTTGCATGTGCTAGGCGAGTGCTCTACCGCTGAGCCACAACCTCAGCCCTCATTTACTTTTTTAAGAAAGCTACAAGTTGTGGGGCTGGGGTTGTGGCTCAGTAGCAGAGCGTTTCCTACCATATGTGAGGCACTGGATTCGATCCTCAGCACCACATAAAAATAATAAATAAAATAAAGGCATTTTGTCCATCTACAACTAAAACACAAGCAAACAAACAAAAAAGCCAGTGAAGAGTCAGCGCCTGTGGCACATGCCTGTAATTCCAGCGGCTCAGGAGGCTGAAGCAGGAGAATTGGGAGTTCAAAGCCAGCCCGGGCAATTTAGTAAGGGCTTAAGCAACTCAGTGAGACCCTGTCTCTAAATAAAATACAAAGGGATGGATGTGGCTCAGTGGTTAAGGTCCCCTGGGTTCAATCCCGGGGACCAAAATAAATAAACAAACCTCCATGATGTTAAAACAAAATGACAAAATGTGAGCAGAAAAGTCTCTACTAAGAAAAAAAAAAAAAAGAAAAAGGAGCCATAGCCTGCTCCCCACACCCCAGCCGTGTCTATGAATCCAGGGGCAATTTAACCTTGGTGAGTTTGAATAAAATCCTGTCCAATGCTGTCTTCAGGAACTACTTTCAAATTGTTTTTTTATTCCAAAAAAATACCAGAGCCAGGTCTATTACTGAAGAGACCGTCTTTTGCTTAGATTCAGGCTGAGTGCTGTAAGTTGACCAGGACGCGCCTGCAGGAGTTCTCAGAGGGCACCACCGACCCACCGACCCACCGAAGGAAACCGGAATAAACAGGGCACCTTTCCAAAACAAGTTCCCGGAGAGGAGAAACTGGACTGCGGTCTTCCCTGGCTGTGTCAAGCTGCTCACTACCCCAAACACACCACGTGGACCCAAAAGGCCTAAAAGTCCCCAAGCGGAGACTGAAGTTCCTGATCCGTACTCGCGCCAATCGGTACCGCAAAAGACCGGCATTGGATCCAAATGGCACAGGACCTCTCCAGATGGGGTCCCCCGACCCCTGACGCAGTTTCCTTCTCCAGCGTGAGTGAGGCAAAGGGAAGGGTGTGTCTCCAAGGCCGCTGCTGGTGAGTTCAGACTCACTGCAAGGCCAGCACCGCTGGTCGCGGCGGGGACGCGACGCGGGACTCAGGGTCGCCCCGCTGGGAGGCGCAGCCGAGGGACTGTTAGGGCTGGCCGGCCGGGGCCCTTATCCGACGGAGGACGCGGAGGCCCTGGGGCGGCCCTGGGCGGTGCCGCAGTTTCTCCCCCTGACTCCTGCCTCCGGAGCAGGGCGGACCCGGCGGCCGCAGCCGCGCCACTGCTGTCGGGGTCCCGCCTCGGGCGCGTGGTCCGCGGGCCGCGCAGCAGCTTCAACCCCACGGGCGCGCGGGGCGGACGGCAGGGGGCGTCCCGCCTTGGGCTGCAGGGTCTGCCCAGCCGTCTCTCCCTTGTTCCTCCCCAGTCGCTGACCCGGCAGGATGTCCCGGCTGGGGTCCCTCAGTCCAACGAGCGGTCGCCCCCATGGGCTGCACAGCGGAGGGGCCGCGCTTGGGCAGGACCCATGTGTCTGCGCGTTCTCCCCCGCGGCCCCGCCGGGCGCAGACCTCAGCCGGGAGGATCCAACGCTCTTCCAAGTTCCAGGCGGCTGCAGGCTGCAGGCCACCCGGCGGGGAACACATCCCGCGAGGCATTGGGCATGAAGGGACAGAGGTGTTAAGTGCGGTAGGAGCAGGTCCAGCCAGCAGCAGGCGGGCGCAGGCTGCACCGAGGCTGCCTGGGCGATCTAGACGGAGAACGGGCGCCTGCTGAGGCCAGGCTGGGCGGACACACAAGACCCGCAGCCAGTGCGGGTGGAGCAGCCAGGGGGGCCTGGAGGAGAGGGGCGGCTCTGTAAGGGCGCAAGAGTGCTGGGACAGGAGGCTGCCGGTGGGGCTCAGTGCTGACGGAACTTGTCCACAAGGGTTTTTAATCTCTCTATGGGAACCGCAAGACGGGGGAGAGGAGACCAGGCCACGGTGTAGAGAGGGCAGTACATCCTTTGCGGCTTACTCCCAGAGTGGGGAGTCAGAAGCCCTCTCTAGCTTTCCTCCCAAGCTCACACCTGAGAGGAGCTTCAGGGTGTGTATTTTCCAGGAAGTGGGGCTGTGGGTGGCACCAGGAGAGAGGAATCTGGCCACAGCATCTTCATCTTCTGTTCTCACAGCATTTGGGATCTTGCAAGACCCACTCTGCTTGAATAGGCTAGAGACCCCCCACCAAAGCTGCCCTGGTGAGCAGGTCTCTTGGCCACACTAAGGAGGGCCTTCGGATGCAGATAGGGTGGTGGGTGCCTTCCCACTGGCCCACCCCCACCACTTCCTGCTGATGCTGCAACTGGTGAAGCCCAGATTGACAGCCTCAGCTGGAGTCAGCTCCTGCTCTGGAGAATCCCATGCCTTGGGACCACCCGTGCCTTGGGGGTCAGGAGGAATGCCAACCCTGCTGTCCTTGTCCTCAGTGAACCAGTGCTGAGATTACCCACAATGAGAAACTGTTTGTATAAACTCAGTACTTCCCTGCCTCAGTTTCCCAACTTCCTCACCTGCACCAAAGGCCTGGTCCTAGTTTGGCTTTTAGGGGACCAGAGTAACACAAAGAGTGACTGACATTTGCATGATGGTGTACACTGGGATGCTGTCCAGCACCTGCACCCCCACTCTTCCCGGCCCCCAGACACCTTACAACTACACCCCTCTTGTAAATTATCTTGCCGCAGTCTGGCTGGGCACAATCAGGAGCCACTTGTCAAAAGAAACTAACTTTATTTTTAGAACCACACACGCCAAACAAAACAGCCTCTCAGGAAAAACCCTCAGAGCCTCAACTGCCACCACCGGCTTTCCACAAGACTCTCCCCCCCCACAAGCTTCTCTCCACCTCCCACAATCCTCCTGCTCTTGAGGCCGATTGGCTGGGTCACGTGGGCGGAGCCAAAAAAGTCCCCCAATGAGCAGCTCCGTGGTCTGAAAGGGCAGGGAAACAGCCCAATGAGCATCACCGCAGAGGAGCCAATCAGCTAGATGTTGCTGGGGCCGCTGTGAGCCAATCATCAGCCGGCAGCTGGAAGTTTGCTGGGGCCCCTTCGGCTGTGGCTCTCAACATTATCTGATTGAACTAAATGGAGAGGGTTCTGCTGTTTGCATTAGCCGAGCTTTTGGTTAGTTGGGGACAGGTCTTGGGCTGAACTGGACAGGGGTGAACAGGAGGAAACTGTCAAGGAAGCCACCAAGTCTGGAAGAATGCTGAATGTGTTTATTAGCCAATAGAACAGAAGAGGACCAAAGCTTTAACTAGCAGAAGGTTCCAACCCTCGAAGGCCAGGTTCATTTAGACTGGTCCCAGGAGCCTGGGAACCCAGAGCAGAGTAAGGAACAGCAGTGCAGGGGAGGGGTCAGGCCTGGGCATGCCATTACGGGCTATCAGCATCCGGATCCAGTCAAAGTGCTGACTAACGTTGGTGTAGACTCCAGGCCGGTTGGGTCGACCACAGCCCACTCCCCAGCTCACAATTCCAATCTGATACCAGAGCCCTTCCAGTTCGCAGACTAAGGGTCCTCCTGAGTCACCCTGGGGAGAAGCCTGGGTGAGCCCAGCCCTGGGCAGGGTAGGTGGGGCTGCAGAGAGGCTGGGGGAGCAGGGGTGGCTGTGGAGCCAGGAGACTGGGTATGAGTTCTACTGTCTCTTCCCCAGGAGGGACAGAGCCTCAGTTTCTGCATCTACAAAGTGGGACAATCTCTACCTCCCAGGATTAGCATGAGATCAAATGAGGTATAGGGTAACAAGCTGATGTTTGGCCTGGGGCTGGGAAAAGTGGGATAATAGTTGCAGAAGATCATGGTGGGCTGGGGTGACACTCACGAAGCAGGAATCCTTGCCTCCTGCGAGCTGTCCGGCACAAACCATGTCTCCCCAGATGCTATAGCGGAAGTCTGACATTTGGTACAAGTGGTTACAGATGGTGGTGTTGATGATGGAGACCTGCACTTCCTGGAGGGTGTAAGGAGATGGCAGATCTGTGGGGGACAGGGGACAGAGAAACAGGCAACTTGATTCTCTGCTGGGGTTGAGGAGAGACATCATAGGCTGTTGGATAGGGGTGACCCTGGGCACCAACAATGCCTGCAACTGTCTCTTGCTGGGCCTGGGCTCCAGCCCTGTACTCAGGAACAATCAACAAGTTACAGAAGAAGGCTAGGGTGTAGCTCAGTGGTAGAGTGCATGTTCCAGGCCCTGGATTGAATCCCCAGCAACCCCTGCAACACACAAAAGAACAATATCAAAGAGGGACCTGTGGAGACAGGTGCAGTGATGCACCCCTGTAATCCCAGGGGCTTAGGAGGCTAAGGCAGGAGGATCACAAGTTCAAACCAAGCCTCATCAATTTAGCAAGGCCCTAAGCAACTCAGTGAGACCCTGTCTCTAAATAAAATATTATATCTGGGAGCAGGCTGGGGTTGTGGCTCAGTGGTAGAGCACTTCCCTAGCATGTGTGAGGCACTGGGTTCAATTCTCAGCACCACATATAAATAAATGAATAAAATAAAGATCCATCAACATCTTAAAAATTTTTTTAAAAAAGGGCTGGGGATGTTGCTTGGTGGTTTATCATCTGTGTCTTCAATCTCTGGTACCAAAAAATAAATAAAGAAAAGGAAGGAAGGAAGGAAGAAGGAAGGAAGGAAGAGGGACCAGTGGAAGTACAGGCTGTTAGCACTCTGCCAACACTCAGTTTCTCTCACTGTAGAATGTACACAAAGCTCCTGCCTGAGGCAGTGGGGTGATTCCTCCGTCAAAATAAGCATAAGGGGAGGGGTTAAGATGGCTGAAATGGTTTTATGATTAACAAAGCCCTGCTGCAGCATCCAGATGCCAGACAGGGTGGGAGCCATCCATTGATGCTCTCTCCTTGATGACACCCGGGGCACCTCCAAGGCTTGAACCATGTGCTTTCCAGGTTCCTTCATCACCTCTGGGATGGTGGGGCATCAAGACCCACTCCCAGATAAAGAACAGGTCAGGGGAAAAGTCACCTCCAGAAAGGCACCAGAGAAGTGTCAGAGCCTGATGTGAACCCAATTCCTGTCTGCGTCCAGTTACCACAGGACCCTGTAAAGGATGACAAGAGCTGACACACAGATAGTGCTTCTTCTACATTGGACACTTCTAAGAGCTTGGGTGCTAACCCTGTTAAACCTCAGAGCTACCCTGAGGTTAAGAGCTCGATCCTCAGCACCACATACAAACAAAGATGTTGTGTCCGCCGAAAACTAAAAAATAAATATTAAAAAATCTCTCTCACTCTCTTAAAATTTTTTTTTTCATTTTAAGACAGTCTCACTAAGTTGCCCAGGTTGGCCTTGAACTTGAGATCCTCCTGCCTCAACCTACTGAGCAGCTGTGCTGGCCACACCCTGTGGCTTGGAAATTTTGAGAAGAAAGGGCTCAGCTCTCTGGGACAGGCAAGTGGAACTGGGGTGGCTGCAGAAGGCACACTGAGGCTCAGTGGTGGGCTGGCTGAGGAAGTGGGAAGACACATGAATAAAGCAAGGCTGAGGTTCTTCTCCACACCCTCAGGACCCCCATCTCTCAGGCTGGCCAAGCCGGCCTCCTCTGCACCCCTTCCTTCTGGCTCACATGGTGTCTGCAAGGGAAGGGGATGAGCCTGTCTTCCTGCCCTTGCAGTGGGAGCAAGAGGAGAGAAGCCTCTGAGCAGAGAATGCTGAGCAGGTGCCCAAGTCCAGAGAGGGGCAGCTGAGCTTGGTGGCTAAATGGGATGAGTAGTACCTTCTCCCAGACCCACCTATCCCCAGCCTCACCTTCACCCTCTCTGATGTCTCCCCAGCCGGTCACCCAGCAGTCAGTCCGGTTCTCGAATTCCAACGCGGAGGGAACGATGCAAATAGGCTGGATAAGGTTTGTGTACTTGACAGAGGAGTCCAACCTTAGCAGGGCAATGTCATAGGGTGCCTTCCCCTTGAATTGGGGGTTCAGATAGATATCTTCCACTTGGTAACGATTGTAGTAGGCTTGCAGGTTCCAGATACCTGGCCTAGAAGTCAGCTCCCCAAACTGGACCGTCCACTCAAAGGGATCAAGAGAACTGGTGGGGGAGAAGAGAGCGGGCCACCTGAGTACACCTACACCCCTTCCTGATGGGACACTGCGGGGCCACTACCACCTGCTCATCCCAAACACCATTAGCAAGTCCCTCTGATGGGCCCTCAAGACAGACACAACCAAAGCCCTCACTTTTGGGCACTCTGAGGACCGTGGCTCCCTCCAGTGGTCTTGTCACCTCCAAGAGCTGTCCTAATGACATGAACCCCTATGTAGCCCAAAAGAACTGAACAGATGTGGGTAGTGGTGTGGGTGCTGGGCAGGATTGAGTCAAACCGCTGCTCTGGAGACAGCTCCACAGGTCAGGCTGCTTGGCCAGCACCTGCCCCACCCCTTAGCCCCCGACTCCTGAGGTATACATCTGCAAGGTAGGTGGAGGGTGGGAGGAAAAGAAAGGGGAGAGAGAAAGGAAAGGGTGAGCAATACACTCAACGGTGCATGGGAATGCAATGGAAGAACATTCTGGAGGAAACTGACAAAGGTTCCCTCCAGGGGCACCCACAGAAACTCAGGTGGGTACAACCAGCTGCAGCAGAGCCTTGAGCTCAGTACAAGAGCCTTGGGCTGCGTACACCTGAAATGGGTGCTCAAGTGTGGCACTGGCCACGGTCACTTCCCACGCGCCCCCAGCTCTCTCCCCGACTCACGTTTCAAAGCAGTGGGCGGCAGTGAGCACCCAGCGGCGGCTGAGCAGGCTGGCTCCGCACATGTGGCTGCCCCATAGGCGCAGGCTCCCTTGCCATGGCCAGCTCTCGAGTCTCGCGTTCTCTCCACCCACCACGCGAGACGGGAGGGTCCGGTGGCCGCATGGCCCTGGGATGGTCAGACGGACCTGTGGCTGTGTTGAACGAGACAGGCCCACCCCGCCCGGCTTGTCCCCGGGGTCCCTGGCCCCCGAGGGGCTCCATCGAGGCCCCGCGCGAGGCCCCGCGCATCCTGGGTCTGGCTGAGGAAGGAGACGTGGTTCTGGGATCCTCCCCTGTGGCCCGCAGGCCCAGCCCTCCCACAGGGCCCCGTTACTTTCAAACACAGATGAGTCCTCGAATCTGGGGTGAGGGAGAGGAACGGATGAGGCGTCCTTTGCACCCCGGTGCAGGCGCACCACAGTCACACAGGTAGCGGGCATCCTGGGCGCCTTACCTGACAACAGGTCCACTTCCAGCGACTCTGGGTGGAGGCGAGAAGGTGAGCGCCCTTGACCTCGGCACCCGTCATCCCCTCCATTGCCACCAGTGCTGCCAGCAGCGCCCCCTGCACTCACCCTTCTCCTCCTCGGGTTCCACCCGAGACAGTAGCAGCGCCAGCAGCAGCAGCAGCTTCTCGCCCCGAGTGCTCATGGCCTTCTCTCCTGCAACCTGGCGCCCCTCTGCTTCCTACTGCTCCAGGTCCTGCTGGCGCCCCCTCTGCTTCCTACTGCTCCAGGCCCTGCTGGCGCCCTCTAGGGGAGAGGCAGCAGGCGGGAGCCCTGGCCACCACATTCTCCCAGCTGGAGCTCCCTGGGCCTATGCTGAAGCCCTTGGGTTCAGCTGCTACGGGGGTTGGTCAGCCTCTGCACTCCTTGATATGGGGCAGCGGCCAGTGAGCCTCACAACCCCTTTCTTGTCTCCTGGCTGCCTTCTCTGTTGCCCGCTTTGCTCCACCAGGACCAAGGACCTGGCCTTCAGCCAGGAGCCCCCAGGTAAGCCTATTAGCACCTCCTCCTTGTTTGCCAGGCCAGGAACATATTCCTTCACAGGACTTTGTTGGGGACTTTTTGACGGCCTTGGGCTTTGTGTCTGCTAGCGGGCAGCAGTCTGGTCCCCACCGGCTTAGGCTGCCCCCTAGCGGCAAGCCCCCTTCGCTGACCTCGTTGAGCCTTTTTTCCCCTTTAAATTGGAGGTACACACTATTAGTGGATTGCCTTAATTTTTAAAAAAATTAAATATATTTATATGTACATTTAAATTTATTTATTTAATGGTACTGGGAATTGAACTCAAGAGTGCCTTACAGCTGAGCTACCTCCCCAGCCCTCTTTATTTTTTGAGCCAGGCCTGCTGCTAAGTTACCTAGGCTGTTCTCAAACTTGAGATCTTCTTGCTCAGCCTCTTGGATCACTGGTATATTTTTTGTCTTTAACTGACACATAATTGTACATAGGTATGAGTACAATGTGACTTTTCAATGCATGCATACAATGTGCAGGGATCATATTCATCACCACAAACCTTTATCACCTCTTTGTGTTGGGAACATTCAAAATCCTCTACACTAGCTAATCTATCATTATATTATATTCAGTATAATATTATATTATATTATATATTATATTCAATAAATTGCCAACTACAGTTCCCTCACTGGGTGCAGCACTTTAGAATTTATTCCTCCTCTGTAACTGCACCCCTGCACCTGGTAACCATCCTCCCCCTTCTTCCCAGCCTCTGGTGACCCCATTCCATTCTCTACTTCTTTGAGATGAGGTGTTTTTAGCTTCAACATATAAGCGAAGACATTCAGTTTCTCTCTTTCTGGACCCAATTTACTTAATTTACCACAATGTTGTCCAGGCTCATAAATGCTCCTGAAGATGAGAGGATTTCATCCGACACTGGGCTGAATCATGATGTCTTGCTGTGCTCAGTGCTGCCCACTCACATCGAAGCTGTGGTGAAGGACAACCAATACGAATCCTGACCGAGCTGAAACTGCCTTTGACAAATGTTACTGTCCGAGGGTCAAAGGAATGAGTGGAAAGGGAGACAGAGACACCACTGGGTTGGCTATCCCAGTGTCCTTGTGACCAGAGGCTTCTGGAGGGGGTCTGTGGAGGGTGTGCTTGCCTGGTACCCCTCTGTGTCTGAAACACTCCCAGGGACATGGTGGGTTTTGAGGAGTGTTGACGTCCCCAGCACTGCCTTCAGGGAGCTCCCTCCAGGCAGGACAGTCAGGACTTGCAGGAGTGTCCCAAATGTGTCCTCTTCCTGGGAGTCCTGGGTCTTGGGACAAGTGCTGAGGCAGGGGTCTGCAGAGGCCCTGGCTGGAGGCACAGCAGAGATCATTCCCAGATGGCGTCCTTGACATAGGGCACATGGTGTGCTGCTGTGGTTACACCAGCTCACTTCCATGTCTCCTTGACTTCACACATCAGTGGCCAGGTCACCCCTGCGGAGAAAGTGGCAGTGGACCTGGGCTCAGATCAAAGCACTCGGGCAGAACAGGCCTCAATAGTGGGCTGGGGCTTGGGGAGAGACCCAGTCCATGTACATAGCAAGGGGCAAGAGTTTCCCTAAATCATCCCCCTCTGCTTCCCTTAGCCCTCCAGCAGTTGTATCTGAGCCAGTTTCTTGAGCATTCCTGGCCACTGGGACCAAACACAGCTCATCACCCAAGACACACAGCCAGCCACCACTCAGATGCTGTGGGGAGGCACAGGGAGACTTTCTCAACTGCAGCCCAAGGGAGCATTCAGGCTGCAGGTCCTGACCAAACCCCACAGACTGCCCAAGGCCTCCAGAGCCCCTTCCAGCCCAGCCCTCAGAGAGCAGCAGGACAGGCTTCTTCCTGGCATTCAGGTCCCCAACTTCACCTCCTTAACAAGGCTTTCTCTGCTCTGTATGAAAAGCAAACCATAAAGGCCCCCACTACCTGTCCACTCACTGCCCCAGAACTGAGCAGTGTGGCTGAAATGGTCTCATCTGGTGTTTGTGCCATGGCTATTGGCCACCTCCAAACTCTGCTCAAGGCAGGCTTGGGGAACACTTGCGGAACTGGATGGTTGTTGGGTACAAAAGGAAGGAAGGGGCTGGAGGAGGAGGAACAGGAGGTGCACAGTGTCCCCAGGGTTGAGGGCTCTGGATTGGAGGCAAATCAGTGGGACAACCTGCAGAAGAGTGGCTTAGCCAGGGGCCTCACTGAGCGGCTCCATGGATGCCCTTGGAGAATCTCAGATGTTGGAAGCCAGAGGCAAGATCTGCCAGGCTCAGAAGTCCCTTGGATGTCATGGGGTTGGGGAAGCACTTCCTCCTCTCCTCTCTGCTCTCCTATAGCCTCCCAGGCTGGCTACCCCCCAGCTCCTATCCCCAACAAAGTCCTGTGAAGGAATATGTTCCCCAGCAGCTGTTGTGTGGTGTGGGAGGGGTCTTCTGTATGAGTGGAGGGGGCCATGCTCCTTCCTCTTGCACCCCAGACAGGCCACACAGGGTTCCATGTCACATATAGCATGTAAGAGCTTTGGGGCCAGGTTACCATGCTGTGTCCCTGGTGGTCAGCTGAAGTCTTATCTGAATGACCAGCTGGTTGATCTGGAAAGAGGGTAGGCTGTTTCCTTCCAGCATGGTCAGCTGCACCCCCTGGTCTCTGGCCTCCTCGCTATAGCCCCATCCCGACCAGCACCACAGCTCTCTGTCCCCATCCCTAGCTTTTGCTTAGCTCTGCTAGACTCACCACCCATAACGAGTCACTCTTGGAGGCAGACAGTCCAGTCACAGCAGCTGAGAAGAAGTGGCAGGAGCCTCCATGCCCCAGATGCCCAAATGAGGCTCCAGGGAATGCCTAGGTCCAGGGAGTGAGGCAGCAGGGCAGGGACACTATGGAGGAAGCCCTAAGCGCAAGCACAAGGGCCCAGAGAGGCCAAAGAGGGTGAGGAGGGCCCATGTGGGGGCTTGTGACAGAGGGGACCTATGACTCCAGGGGCTCTAGGAGCCCTGGGAGAGGGGTGTCCTGGGATGGAGGCTGAAACTCCCACCCAAAGAGGCTCAAACTGCCCCCATCTCCTGCCTCTGGACCTAGGGGTCCCCACTTGCCCCTCCACCCCTGCTGGGGTCCCAGCCTGTGCTTCTGCCTCCAGCTCTCTTCTTAGCTGTCTTTGGTCAGAACCCAGAGTTCTCTGGAGAGACTGGGAAGAAGAGTGAGAAAGGAGAAGACTAAGAGCACCCCCAGTCTGCTACCAATCCTGTGCCATTTACACCCAGCAGGTGTGAGATGTCATACCACCTGCCCAGTCCAGGCAGACCCAGGCCTGACCCCCAGCCCTGACCACAACCCTGGCATTGAACTTCAGACCTGTCCATGACTCTGAGATTGACCCTAGCTCTGCCATGACCCCTAGCCTTGCTCATCACCTTGGGATCTATCAACCCCTACCAATGAACTGTAGACCCCAGGTCTGCCCAAGACCCTCAGATTTACCCAATGCCACCTGTGACCCCAGGACTCACCCATGCTTTGCTCAAGTTCTTGGTATTATCCCCTGGTCCTGTCAATGACTCCAAGACCCCCTGGATGTGCTGCTCTCATGCCCACTTTGCTTACGAACAGCACTGCTGAGAAAAAGTGGGCTTGGGCACCAGGAGATCCCACTCCTGTTTCCTTGTCTGCAAAATGGGGCCAAGAGCAATGAGCACCTCCCGGGGCCGCTGTGAGCATCGGACCATACTGCAAATGGAGGCTGTGGCTGGTAGGCCTGGGTGGACATGTTCTGCTGGGTCCAGTCTTTATTGTCTCAAAGACAGACTCATTGCAGGGAGCCCAGACCAGCCCCAGGAGTTCCAGAAACCAGCAAAGAAAGATATTTTGAGTGATGGCTGCACCCTGTGGCTCAACCCTGGATGGGGGATGAGAAAGGAGAAAAAGTTGCCAGGCTCTGTCCCTGGGGAACCACAGGCCAACCAGGCAGGTGAGAAACAGCTCAGGGCCCATGGGGATGAGCCGGAGGCCAGGGCTTAGCAGAGGCTTACAAGGTCTAAAGAAGGGATGTGAGGAGGTCCTCTGTGAGAGAGCTCCAGAGGGCAGGGCATGGGGTGGAGGGCAGCGTGTGGCTGACTTTGGTGTAAACAACAGGTTTCTTGGGGAAGTTATACTCATTCCCCCAACTCACCACTCATGCCTGGGCCCAGATGCCACCAATGTCACAGACCAGGGGGCTTCTGGAATCACCCTGGGGAGAAAGCAAGTGTCCAGAGGTGCAGGGATGCCCAGGGCCAGTTCTCCTGGACACAGAATCCGGGCCCTCCACCCCTACCCCAGTCCCCCAGCCTCCCTCAAGCATTTCAAGCCCAGAGCTAGGAGGAAGAGGGTCAATGCACTGAGAGTTTTTGGGAGCAGGTAGGGGAGGCTGGTTTGGGAACTAGAGGGGGATAGAATTCCTGCAGATGGGACAGGCAGTGTGACAGGGACCATCTATTTTCTAAATAAAACTTAAATTTCTGCTATAGTTGTGTATTTCAGAGTTGAGACTCAGAGAATCACTTTTGAGTTGCTGACTGACATTTCCAGTTGTTTCATTTTCTATGTAAAATCTCTCTTCTTTGAGGGAAAACAGTGAGGCGTGTGGCAGGTGCATATAAGAGCAGACAGG